AGAAATAAATAAACTTTAAGGTAGCCATTATATTATGGTGAAGTTGTTGTTTGATTTATCGTCAAGTTGTTGTTTTATTTATTGTAGCCTGAGTAGTTGAATGTTATGGAAACCCTATTGTGACATAATCGGGTGCACATGATTCTGGGAAATTTTGAATCGTGAGCTGTTTTGTAAGTGTTTTTGTGGTGTGTGTTGGTTTGATTCTTTAGCTGGTAGAATGGCCGAATGTAGTAAGATTAATTTGAAATTTCTGTACGATTTGGAGCGAAAGGGAAAAAGAGCTTTAATCGACTATAATCGAGCTGGTGTGTAAATGAAGGTGTACTTAGTAGCCATTATAAGTGTCCTGTATGTAGGAATGATATGTGTCTAGTCGAACGTAAAAACCGTTTAGATGGATTTGAATGGGTTTGTGGGAAGAAAGGTTCAGATGGTCACAATGTGAAGTGTTTGATCAGAAAGAGTACCTGGTTTGAAAAAAGTCATTTGAGTATGATTGATATTTTGATTTTTATATGGCTTTGGGTGCATGATGCGAACTCGAAAATCATGGTAAGTGAATATTTGCTTTTGGTAGTGCTTAAATGTACAGTCAAAAGTCATTAATTCGGACACCCATAATCCGGAATGATCTATAATCCAAACCTCAAAGCTACAAACTTTTTGCGCATCTTCCACGTAAGACTTTTACGGCTGCGAATATGCTTGTGCACATGTGCGTAATACGTTTATGCTTGCGCATTTAATGTATAACGGATGGTATAAGCTAAGCTAAAATTATCTAATTCAGTTAATGTTGCAGATTGCGTTGTTCCTGAATCTTCAAATTGGATCCGGCTTTTTTTTTTTTTTTTTTTTTTTTTTTTTGCAGACTGTTACAGCAATTTTATAAAAGTAAGCTTGAACTTTCAATTATGTCAAATAGAATTTCCGATATGTATTTACTAATGTGTAAAGGATCTACAAAGTGAAAGTATGTTTCGAAGTCCATTAAACAAAAAGTAGAATTGCTGCAAAAAATGGATAAAGGCATATCCTTCGTTTCTCAAACCATTCCTAAATCTGTTTATCAATTTCATGCTGCTCCGCCACCCGGGGGGGGGAACTCTGAAACACCGCAGCGCGCAATGAATTGGAAGTTAATCTGTCAGCACTATCCTTATCTTCAAGGTAGATGTTTTTATTTTATTTCGCTTATAATTCCTTACTAAATGTAGTATTTCATCTCGATGTACTCCGTCTTTGATATGATTTAAATCAAATTCCTCGTCATTATAATTCGCTTCCGATAAAGAAGAAAGTGACACAGAGGTTATTGAAAACGAAAAAATTTCAATTGACAAATTAGTCGGTATTTTCGACACAGCAATTATAGGACTTTAACAGTAGAACTTTGTAACTGAAGAAGAAATTATGTCTGTTTATAGAATTAAAGAGAAAGTATGATCACATGAAACGAAGCAACTTATACAACTTACATTGAAAGAAATGTTTAATAAAGTAAACAAATAAATATTAAGCTTTTTTTTTTTTTGTAAATTTTGATACCCTTTAGATCATAATTGTTCTTTATTTCATAAATTACGGTGTCATATTTTTAATTTTATAATTTCTGCATGCCATCTTACCAGATTTAAACTGATGATCTATTATCTGGAAAAATCGATAATCCGGAATTGCCGAAGTCCCGACGAGTTCGGATTAATGATTTTTGACTGTATAACATGTTTTTCCTTTTTTATGTTATTTTATTGTTTGGTTTAAATGTATTTTATTGAGATTATGTATTTTTTGTTTGCCTATATTGTAGAATTTGGTGCTCCTTTGACTTTTTAAGTGAAAATATATCAATGTGTACATGGACAAAGTAAAGGGAGTGCGCAATGCAAGTTTGTGCAATTCTGGGATTTTTTTTTTAAGTGAAAATAGGTCGACGTGTTCATGGATAAAATCAAAGGAGTGCACAATGCCATTTTTATGCAATTCGGAGATTTTTTTTTAAGTGAAAATAAGTCGATGTGTACATGGATACCGAGTTTGTGCAATTGTTTGTCTTGTTATTTTGGCTTTGTGTAGCCAAAATAACAAGTCAAAGAATTGCACAAAATTGGTATCCATGTACTGCCAAAAATGGCCAAGTTTCGCCAAGGGGTACCCTAAACTATACTTTTACCCTTTTTTCATACGTTCATGCTTTCCATTACCATCTACTCCATCTTCCACGTAAGCAATTCAATTAACTTTTTTGTTGTTTGGGTTTATCTGCTGTTAATGGGAGATAAATATGTATAGTAGCATCCAAACCATCAACATTCATCCTCTTACTTACCTCAGACATCCTCAAATGATGGTACCCATATCAAAATTCAACTCCAATGCACGTCCAACCAAACACAGCAATTGAAAGAATGTAAAAATCCAAAATCCTCAGTCCATACAAAAGGGTTACAATTACAAAAAATAGCCAAAATCTCAATTTATCACAACACATTCGGCAATATTCGCATAACTAACCCTTTTTTAATGACAAAAACTTTAAAAAAAAAAAAAAAAAATTACCCAAGGCTAGTTTTGCAAGCATTAGGGTTACCGAAAAACCTGTATCACACAGCGGGCTTCCAGATTTCATGAACAACCAATACCACTTGGTAATTTTTCAGACAGAGGCCAAGGAGTATCGTACAGTGAAGATCAACCAAAATACTTTTCATATGTAACTATATGCATCTACTTTGTCATGTTCGTTCAAAAATTTTTCTTCTTTTTTTGTTGCCATTCGCATTTGCAAGACTGATTTTGAAATCTACATAAATTTTTAAGAACAAGTTCACATTTTGAAAATAACAATATAGTATTAAGTCAGAAGTGTTTAACTTTTTAATGTTTTATCTCATAGAAATATACATGTAATCTGTAAATTCATTGTACAGTTAGGTAAAACTATAACTGTTTTATAAGAGTAGAAATAAAATAAATGTTTTAATAGATAGATAGGAATGCTATGAAGGAAATTCAAAAAATGTTTCATAAATCAATATTTTTAAAACATGCATTAAGCTCAGTTTTAATATTTGGCAGAAAAACGATCTTAGAATAGCATATATTTTGATAACAATGAAATATAAATCCATTTTCTTCAAAAGGAATAAAAAAAAAGCGCTTGTGTCTAATCATCCTCAAGAAATAAAGGGCAAAAACAAAATAGATAAATAAAAATGAATATTAAAACATCCATTGCAATTCTGAGACAAAGTAAAAAACTGAAAAATCACCAGTATGTGAAAAAAGCAGTAAACCATGGACAGTAAAATTATACATGTACTTTTGTAATAAAAAAGAAGCTTCAGTATTGATTTATTTAAAACATGTGGAAAAAATCAGTTTCAGAATTTTTCAGAAGTTGTCATATCTTGTGTGGATATCTGGCAATAATCTATATTTCATTTCCCTTTGGCATTTGCAAATATATTTGTGCTTGATGAATAGGGATTGTGTGTTTTGATGATTTGCTAAAACAGCAAAGGTAACTGAAAAATGAACATGCAATAAGTTTGGTTTACTTATTGGAATGTTTGCTATCAAAATATTTCAAGACGCAAGAGAAACACGCCGATGTGGAAAATAAAACAGGCAAATTGACAACCTTGTATACGGCTTGGTTTTTGTAAAATCCCAATTGATTTTGAGAGCAAAACGGGTCCCCCTTCATCAGAAGCAAACATTTCTGCTAGCAGAATTTTTTGCTCCACATCAGAATGGATCAAGAATGAGTATTATGTTGGCTGTTTTCTTTGATTGTTTTACTATATCATAAGTTTCTCCCATCTGGCCAAAACTATTAAGAAAGAATATTATTTGAGCATTTTCTACCATTTAGTTAAAACTGTTGGTACTTTTCCATTTTGCCGGTGCAAGCGATAAAGTCGCCAAAAATGGTACAGCCGATGCCAAACGGAATATCCTCCCTGGTAACCTTTCATGCCACGTCGCAGCCATTTCTTATCAGATTGATTGTTTCTTTCAACACTGGCATACAATTAAATATAATTTTTACCAGATAGTTCAATTTTATGCCTTAAGGCCATTCGCAGTAATTAGTCAATTAGGATCCTATCACACCATTCACCTGGAGGTGAAAATATAGAAAAGGCAAAGTCAAGGGTTAAATTTATTAATTCTAATGAGAATGCACCAGCGAAGTAAAGCACTGCGGTTTTACATAATTTCTTGGGGTCATGTGATATGAAACGGCGAATCAGAATGTTGTACCATGAAAGCATAGTAAATTCTTAAATGAATGTCTTTTTAAGAATTTATTGTCTTTTTACAAAATTTTAAATGATATTAAAATGTTTATGCCTTCAAAATAAAAATTTCTTAGAACTAACCCATGTTAAACATTTTTTTTTTTTTTTTTTTGTGTATATTGTGTATTGTCGTCAATAAAGTCTGCTTAGTGAGATTTGTGCCGGCAAAATGGAAAAGTACGAAACTGTTCGTTGAAATTATCTGAATTCTTAATTAGATAATTTATAGATTTTACATCATTATACTGCACCTTCTTATAATAAATCTGATTTTTTGGCATAAAATTCAACAAATACAGTTCTATGATCTTTATATTTACGGGGTTTTACATTCTGTGGCATTTTCTTATGTTCAATGGTTAAAATTATTGCATTGTGGTCACTGTTTTGAATCTGTTGATTCAATAAAAGAAAATTTGCTGCTTTTAGGGTTTCATGAAAACATGTTTTGAAGACTGGGAAGAATACTGTTGTAAGTGCTTTGGGATTATTTTGAACAGGATGTAATAAATATTAATCAGCATAATATTAACGAAACTTTACGATTTCATTAGTATCTTATCAGAGGGTGATATGTGTTTATTTTAATCTGTTACAATTCTAAATTATCCAAAGTGAAAAGATTTTTATTATGAAGTGCAGAAAGTTTCTTTTGAATTTTATGTCTTTCATTTTGCCTTTACTTTTCAGACTGAACTGGATTTCTGAACATTCAGGATGACTTCTGATGAAGAATTTTTGATATCTCAGGTATTAAGTTGTCTTGAAACAGATTTGGCAGCTGCAAAATCATGGATGATTTTCTCCAAATCTGCATTTCCCCAGAGTTTTCCGGTATTATTTCAGTGTTATAAAATGGCTTGTAATGAAAAGAATCTTAGTGAAAGTGCGTTATGTTTGAGTGACTTAGTTAAAAAATTTCCAAATGAAGCTGTTCTTATTCGAGAGCTGAGAAATATTGCCACGTGCTTGTGCTCTGCAAACGATGACTTTTTAAAGCAAATATTTGAGCAGTTATCAGAGGATATTAAATATGAAGTTATGATGGCTGTGACAAGAAATGTCCAGACTGTTGAAGAACACTGTGAACTTATGTTGTTATTTTTAAAACGTATGCCAAATGCAAGACTTCTGCAGCATGGCAGTAACATTATTGATACTCTGTTGACTGCAGAAGAGCAACCTGATATACGTTCCCCTATAAATTTGTTTCGAAAAATGCTTATCTGTGATGCTTTGCCTTTAATCTTACGACTGTCTCAATTTGAGTACAAATTTAAAGTTATCTTTCAACTGCTGCAAAAGGCTGTAGAATTTTATGTATGCTGTTTATTTACATTTCCCACTGTACAAGATGCACCTATAAGAAAAGAAGTAATTACGGTATCTGAGAGTGATCCAGATGAAGGGTGGAAACCATTATTAATGTTGTTAGAAACAGTTGCCTTTCGTTACAGGTGGAATTATCCAGAAATGTTTTATTCAAACTTCAGTGACTCAAGCTTACAACAGTTGTTATCTTTGTTAAAAAGGAAAAACAAAACATTATCCAGTTTGACGAATGAAAAACACAGGCGTGAAGACTCCTCAGGTTATGAAGAAGCATATTTTTGTTTGGTAGTCACCTTTTTCTATTGCTTGTATACTTTTGGAAGACTTATCCATCCCAAGATATTTTCAAGTTCTGTTACCGGTCCATATAATTATATTCTAATGGAAGGCATATCATTTCCACAAGAAGACTGCCCGAAAAATCTGGGTAATGAGTTTAAAAGGACCGAAAGAGGCTTTTTAGTTACTAGCAAACTTGCAACTCCAGATGTAACCAGTATGCTTATTCCTTCTTTTGTCACAGCTGTGGAATGTTGGCAATTATTGCATAGGCATCAGCACTTCATGAAAGAGTTCAAATGCTTATGTAAAAACATACAATTAGATACTTGGGCAGTTTTTCAAGAATTTTATATCAGTATGTTAATGTATGAAAGAGCCCACCGTGATGCTATTGATCACTTGGGGAGATTTTGCAAAACTGCTGTTGATCCAGCCCATAAAAATAAAGCATCTCTACAAATTGCAAGCTGTTATAATTTTTTAGGAGAATATGAGCATGCTCTGAAAATTTTGTATGAAGTTATAATGAGCTTATCACCAAGTGGTGTATATAATACAAAACCAACTTTGCATAAATGTCCTTCCAGGTTTATGATTTTTATGGGTTATACTAATCGAGAAATATTGCAATATTGTGTGACTATGTTGCTTAAATTGTACAAATTTAAAGATAAAGTTGATGATGCATATAAAGATATGTCATTAGGATATATTTTGGTATTAATGCAGTATGACTTGGACCATCAGTATGAAATGCTTCATAAATGTATTGATGCAATAAAAAAAGCTAAGAGTTTTTCCTTTCAGAAATTCTTTAATTATATTATTAACGTTGATATTTTGGAAGAAATTTCTTATTTAACAACAACAGCTGGTGGAAATGTAAATTTGGAAATACTTTCTACTCCAACTTTTCAAGCAAGTAAGCAACGTGCAGTTACTCGTGGTGTGAATAAAGGAGCTAGAGATGACCTCAAACAAGCTTTTGTGAATCAGATGGCACGTTGCTATGATAATCTTGATGACCTTTTTATTGAATTTATAAAAGAGGAACATAGCTTCTTGTTGTTGCCCTTAAGTAATGGAGTGTAAAATATATAGAAATTTAATTGTTGTTATATATTGAAATTTAATTGTTTATTCCTTATCATTGCTTGCATTTCTAAAGTAGTCAATATATAGTTTCTGTTTCTTCTTTTAATGTTATTTGAACCATGATAGTGTTTAAATGCATTGTGTATATTCGTGCTGTATTACATTTGTTTTTAATACAGTCAAAAGTCGTTAATCCGGACTCGTTGGGACTTCGGCAATTCCGGATTATAGATCATCAATTTAAATCTGGTAAAATGGCATGCAGAAATTATAAAATTAAAGATATGAAATCGTAATTTATGAAATAAAGAACAATTATGATCTAAAGGGTATCAAAATTTACAAAAAAAAAAAAGCTTAGTATTTATTTGTGTACTAAACATTTCTTTCAATGTAAGTTGTTTAAGTTGCTTCTTTTTATGTGATAATACTTTCTCTTTAATTCTATAAACAGACATAATTTATTGTTCAGTTACAAAGTTCCGCTGGTCAAGTCCTATAATTGCTGTGTCGAGAATACCGACTAAGTCCTATAATTGCTGTGTCTACCGACTAATTTGTCAATCAAATTTTTTTCGTTTTCAACAACTGTCAACCTCTGTCACTTTCTTCGCTATCGGAAGCAAATTATAATGACGAGGAATTTGATTTAAATCATATCAAAGATGGAATACATCGAGATGAAATACTACATTTGGTAAGGAATTATAAGCCAAATAAAATGAAAACATTTGCCCTGAAGATTATAAGCCAAATAGAATGAAAACATCTGCCCTGAAGATAAGGATAGTGCTGACAGATGAACTTCCAATTCATTGTGCGCTGCGGCGCTTCCTCCCCCCCCAGCAGCGTGAAATATTATAAACAAATTTTGGAATGGTTAGGTAATTTTTTGCAGAAATTCCACTTTTGTTTAATGGACTTCGAAACATACTTTCGCTTTGTAGATCCTTTACATATTAGTAAATATATATCGGAAATTCTATTTGACATAATCGAAAGTTCAAGCTTACTTTTATAAAATTGCTCTAACAGTCTGCAAAAAATAATAAGCCGGATCCAATTCGAAGATTAAGGAACAACGCAATCTGCAACATTAACTGAATTAGATAATTTTACCTTAGCTTATACCGTCCGTTATACATTAAACGCGCATGCGTAAACGTTGATGCAAAAGCAAAGTTTAAAGTTGTAAAAATAAACTTTTAACAAGAGTAGCAATAGAAGCTCCCTAAGGTTATGTGCTGTGCAGATATTGAAGACAATAAAAGGTTTCAAACTTAACCAATTTATTAACAATATATAAAAATAAAAACACAATGAATAAATTTCTACAATATCAGAAACTTAAAAATTATAATATAACCATTATCAAAAAATTCATATATCAAATAATATTTTACCTGATCTCCAAAATACTGGCATTCAATACACGAAAAACGTATCCTAAACAGAAATTATGCAGTTTTAAATGAAATTAGCTGCACTGTCAATAAGTCCATGCTTAATGGTCAAGAAGGCACCTGAAAATTAAATTAAATCCTTGAGAGCACTAAAACCGGCCTAACTCCGCTCACTGTAGTTAAACACGAGGAATCACAGCTTAGAAAAACATCACCGCTAACTTATGTTAAATGCCGCCTTCATGAAGAACATGGATGCCGCCCACGGCAATCACTCACATCGTAGCCTCTTTTAAGAATCCAGGAAAAGTCATCTTGTAGACTGGAACCAAGGAACTTATTCGGGAAAAGTCATCAGAAACTTAAAAACAATATCAGAATATAGACTGGAACCACGGAACTTATCACCGGACTACACGCATCGCATCGCAAGACGTCTTCCAATAGGGGCTGGAAACTGCACACCCAGGAGCCAAGAAAACAGGAACTAGAAGGAATGAGCCAGAGCGACGCGAGATACTTATACTAGAAATAGGCATGACGTCATCTCACGGCAACCAATCAGCTATCGGCACGACTCAGCTTTCCAGATGACGTAACATCAAGTTTTGTTTTAGCTTCTTAATTAGGCTGAAACAGTCCGTTCTCAATACGAACAGTGGCAGTGAAAAAACGAAGTAAAAGTAATTACTATATCCCTTTAAAATAAGAACTAAGCCTAATAAATATTTCAAGGAGGAGAAATAATGCAGAAAAAGGGTTACAATAGGTCATATTTTCCAACAAATGTATTTTGCGCATGCGCACACGCATATTCGCAGCCGTAAAGGTCTTGCGCGTCAACGCGACGCATGCGCAAAAAGTTTGTAGCTTTGAAGTCCGAATTAACGACTTTTGACTGTATTCTATCCCCACCTTCTTTTTTTAAATTAATTATTTTATTTTAATGATCTGGAAACAGTTTTCACATGTATTATTAAAAAACTGCATAAAACTAGACAACAATAAATTTTATGACCGACTGGAGTTAGTCAATGAGACTTAATGTATTTATTATATTGATTTTATGTTTTAATGCTGAGTATCAAATTACAGTATGTATATTAAAGAATTTATAATATAATACTAATGTATTTTCCTGTCAGTTTTGAAAATTGGTGAAAATCCCTCCAAACTTACATCACTCATTCTGGCAAAAGTTTGAAGGAATATGCATCACCACTGTATATTCAGTTTCAAATAAAATTACATTATTGAGCCCATTAACATACACATTTTTTTTAAAGCCAAGATTCAGTAACTTGGTGAAAATGCTGCATGTTATTCCATAGAAAGCAGGTCCCAAATTTGGAAATTTTTTCAAAATGTGAGAAAAATTAAGAGAATATTAGTTAACTTGGTATCCTTTTTTACAAAAACCAAACTAGCATAGATTAATGAGGGTTGGATAGATGCAAGGTGAAGATGTTGTGAGTATGTTGCGATGTCACAACCCTTATTACTGGTGTTAAATCGTATTGCTTGGTGACTGAAGTGTCTTCTATGCAAATGTAGGAAAATAACACTTCTCTGACCCCCAATAGAATCAATATTTTATTCCTTACAACATTATATATCCTTATTCATAATACAGTCAAATACTGAAAATCCGCGTTGCCTCTCAAAATATAAACATTCAATTTATAAGTTCTGGAAACTGCAACATTGAGTACGAAATATCGAAGAAAAAATGCTTACCAAATGATGTTATAATTACCAAATAATAATGAGTCATAACAGAAACCCCAAATTATTGACATAAAAAGTTTAAAAAAATAAGATAAAAGTTTTTTCCCTCTAATCTCTCTGTATCGAGGTAAAAATGCAGATGATTCACTCAACTCTTCGTTCAAGTTCACGATTCACGTCGTTGTATTTTCTGAGCTTTGTTATTTCACGAGATTGTTTAGTGCTACCTTTTTTTATCCTGATATTTTGTGGATAAATTAAGAATATTTTAAATTTCAGCCCTTTTTAATACAATGACAGATAAGAAATGCACTCATGATTTTACTGCTTGCAACATTGAAAAACGTAAACGTGTTGCATTGACGGTAACGCAAAAAAGTTCAAATTCTGCAAAAGATGGAGGCAGGTGCTACTCCTTGATTTATAGCAGAATGGTATGAAATCGCGACACGATTGTGTATGATATACAGAAAAATTTAAAAAAGCTGTTGAAATTTTACAGCAACAGTGATTCTAACACCAGAATTCGAAAGCAGAAATCTTTGCATGATTTGAAATCAGCAAACCTCGATGCTGTGTACAATGAATAAATATAATCAATTTATATATGTAATAATAATTTAATTAAATGTATCTAATACGCCTTATTAATTTTGCATTTTTAGTCCGAATATTATGCTTTATCTTTTCCATCCTAAAATCCGCACAACCTCTGGTCGCAAACTTTGCGGATTTCTGGACTTACTGTACAGTACAATTTGGCGCCCTCCCCAGTAAAATTGCATCCAAAACATAATTAAAACAAAAAATATATAATCTCAATAAACTGCATTTTATATCAAACAAGGAAATATTCGGCATGCGAGACGCACAGAATTCTTTAACAGCATCCAAAAACTATTTAAAATATCTAAACTAGAATCTGTATACTGCCATCACCACATAAATTGACAAAAGTAAAAATGAAAAATATTTCTGTACTGTAAGACTGTCAATGGTATTTCTATCAAAAATCCCTTTTTATTACACCCCACATACATTCCATAGTTTTGATACGAGCTCCAGTTTCCAAATCCTTAAATTTCACTTCGTAATTTACCAAGAGGTGAAAGAAGCTATTTAAATCTTCATTAACACACCAATCAATCAATGTTTTCTTTCCCAGTCATTCTAATGTCCCAGTGTACAGAAACTTCAGGTTAACCGTACCACCAGCAGGCATTTTACAGTGTAAAGGACAAAATAAGCAACATACTTCCTAACCAACATCCAGCACATAAATAAGCCCTTACAAATATTTTTCCATCAGTCAAATTCACCGCAATCACATCATAATAGGATTTCCATAACATTCAACTACTCAGGTTACCATAAATGAAACAACAACTTGGCAATAATCCAAGGGGTACCCTAAAATAAAGACTAAGCGTATAAGGTGAGTTCTGATGTTTGTGCCACTCTATTTCTGTTTATGAAAGAAGTGTCTGCTAATTAAAATGTTTTGTTAAAAACAGAAACATTGTTTAAAATTATTTTTTATTTGATAATATATTAATTATAAGGGCTTTGATGGTTTGAAGAAAGGGTAGTGAAGTAGTGTATTAGACTTGAAATTTATCAATGTAATAAAAGAAGTATAAGAAACTTTATGAGGAAAAAATAAAACCTATCTGTCTAATATTTATATTTTTAGAGCCAGTGAATAGTGTTCACCAAAATGACAGTTAAATACGTAGCCAAGCACATGTGTTGTATGTATTAGTCACCTATTGTTGGATGTGTACTCAAAATATTCCAAAAACATGAAAGTTTTACCAAATATTGAAATTGGAATTAAATAATCAGAAGATACAAAAAAAAAAAAAAAAAAAAACTGGAGAACATTAGATTAGAGATGAGAGATGCTTGAAAATAATAATTTATAATAATAAATAATAATTTGCACGATGCAAAGCAATTTGATGAGCAAGAAGAGAAATGTGGTAAGTCACCAAATATAACACCTTTTTAAGCTAAAGAAACTAATGCCAATTTTTCGATCTATGAGGCTGTTTTTTGATAGGCTTTGAAGTTCTCAATTATTTAAGTTCCTTCTTATTATGGGGCCAATCATGTTAATGGATTGTGTTAAAGCAACAACCCTACTCAGA